GGTTCTTCCTGGTATTATTCCCTCTACCATGAAGGGCGCTCTACCAGGTCCAGACTCCATGCCCTGGTCCCTCTCTGCAACCCAGAGCTCACCTACCTCTTAGGACATCACTGAGTGGGAAGGCCTGCTGGAGAGGACCATCCAACGATCTGTGTTGGATCTGGCAGGTCAGCTGAGACTTCACATCTCCTTGCTCCAGCGGGATTTCCACTGTGCTCTCTACTTGGTATGAAATGCTCTCTGTTCCATCAGAGTTCAAGATGTTGGTCTGGGCAGCCTGTATTTTTTTCCCGTCCTTCAACCAGCTGACTGTGATCTCCTGGGGGGAGAATCCCTCTGTGGAGCAGTTGAAGGAGGCCCAAGACCCTGCCACGACTCTTGTTGTGGGGCCACAAACCACAGGCTGGGATGGCTTGGCTGAGGGAGAAAGTAGAGAGAGATATCAGTTGATGTTCCTCAGAGATAATACAGGAAGCTAGAAGGCTGTATTTGGCTGGAGAGACTCAATGTCAACGCTGCTAACATCGGATGTTCTTGCTTTGACAATATATGAAGATGCAGCCATTTTCTCTTTAACCTGTGTATTACGTTTAGAGTTAGAATTAGATGGTGCTGGGGGGAGGAGGGGGAAGAATGTGTATGGGGATTAGTTAGACATAACAACATCGCAGTAGAGTATTCTTCAAAGTTGTTTGAAATAAGAGAAGATAAGAAATGGCAGGTTGTGAAACTGGAGGGAAGGTTTGCATTTCAAACTAATTGGAGAATGTGATTTATGACTGTTAATTGGAGGAGGGAATTGTGCTTCGATACTATGTGTTTAGGGGAGGAGAATTCAGATTTTGGCTTCGACCATGTACGTACCAATGTCGTGTTATTTTGAATAAAGATTCTTTAAGGTAAACAATGCCTCAAGTTCTTTGAAGAGTAACATCTGTCGGAACCATGACATCCAACTTCAGAACATGAGATTTAATCTCATATGTCTCTCGATTGACTGGGAATATCTCCCTCCATCCCCAGAAATCAAATCGGAGCGCCCCACCTACCAATTACGGAGACCAGAGTGCCTTTCCCCGAAGCCAGTTCTCTCTCTGGGATCCCTGCCCTGAACTTCACACAATAGTAGATCCCGGCATCTTCAGGACGGATGTTTGGGATGTTGATGCTGAAGTCTGTGTTGGATCTTGGGATGAGCCTCACCCCCCAGTTGGAAGCGCCTACTTTATTGCTGTAAATGGGGGGCTGGTTTCTGTCCAGCCCTTTGAACCACCGCACACCTCCAAGTAAATTTACCCCAGTCAATGTACACTGTAGAGTGAGTCTGTCTCCAGCTTTCACCGATACGGTTTCCGGAAGTTGTGTTACCTCCGTTTTCTGTCCTGTAACAACTGAAATAAAAAGAATCACTTTTGTAACTAGGTTTCCTCTAGAAAGTGGTCACCACTCTTCTGAACACAAAGAACCAATGGTGGTGCCCCTTTGGAGAACAGAATTATTTGCATTTTCTGAATACAATCCTTCTGGACTATGACCATCTGTTTTGGATTCCTGACCAGTTTTGAATCATTGCCTTGCAGAGGGCTAATTTATATGGTGGGCAAGTTTTGTATCAAAGTTCCAAATTTTTTCCCAAGTCTTTTTTCCATTAAACTCAAAAGAAAAGTTTCTGGTTTTATCTTTATATTCACTTTGAGAATCTTCTGTATTAAGATGTGAATCCTACTTCAATATTTCTTTGCTTTATCACATGTCCACCATGAATAATACAAGGTCTCTTCTTTACATTTGAATGTCCAACATTCATTTGAAATACCTTTATACATTCTGAACAACTTATCTGGTGTTAAATACCAATGATACATCGTCTCATAGACGTTTTCTTTTAGATTATAATTTGCTGGAATTGGGTATGTCTAGTTTAACGAACAGAAGGATGAGGGGGGACATGATAGCAGTGTTCCAATATCTTAGGGGCTGCCACAAATAAGAGGGAGTCAAGCTATTCTCCAAAGCGCCTGAAGGCAGGACAAGAAGCAACAGATGGAAACCAATCAAGGAGAGAAGCAACCTAGAACTAAGGAGAAACTTCCTGACAGTTAGAACAATTAACCAGTGGAACAACCTGCCTCCAGAAGCGGTGAATGCGCCAACACTGGAAGTTTTTAAGAAGAAACTGGACAGCGAAATGTCTTCAAAGAAAAACAAGAAAGTCCAGTAGCCTCCTGAAAAAGCACCTTCGGCACAATTCATTTTTGCTTTGTTCTGTTAAATTAAACAAAGATATGTGGCCACCCAACTCACACACAAGCGACTCTGATCAGCACAAAAGCAACTTTAAGAATTCACACCATAAAAGTCATAAAGCCCCATTGCCCCCGTCCCCACGATGCACAAAATCACATGAAAACGAATCACGTGAAGTATTAATACCACTTTACAATGCCTTGGTAAGGCCACTCTTGGAATACGGCATCCAGTTTTGGTCACCACGATGTTAAAAATGATGCTGAGACTCTAGAAAAAGTGCAGAGAAGAACCACAAAGATGATTAGGGGACTGGAGGCTAAAGCATATAAGGAACGGTTGCTGGAATTGGGTATGTCTAGTTTAATGAAGAGAAGGACGAGGGGGGACAGGATAGCAGTCTTCCAGTATCTCAGGGGCTGCCCCAAAGAAGAGGGAGTCAAGCTATTCTCCAAAGCGTCTGAAGGCAGGACAAGAAGCAACGGATGGAAACTCATCAAGGAGAGAAGCAACCTAGAACTAAGGAGAAACTTCCTGACAGTTAGAACAATTAACCAGTGGAACAACCTGCCTCCAGAAGCTGTGAATGCTCCAACCCTGGAAGTTTTTAAGAAGAGACTGGACAGCCATTTGTCCAAAATGGTGTAGGGTCTCCTGCCTGAGCAGGGGGTTGGACTCGATGACCACCAAGGTCCCTTCCAACTTGATTATTATTATTATTATTATTATTATTATTATTATTATTATTATTATTATTATTATTATTATTATTATTATTATTATTATTACTACTACTACTACTACTACTATTATTATTATTATTATTATTATTAATCAAGGAGAAAAACAACCTGGAACTAAGGAGGAATTTCCAGACAGTGAGAACAATTAATCTGTGAGTATGATTCATAAGCTTTGCCTACACACAAGTTCTGTAGTGTCATTTTTAGAAATTTTTAGAACTCTCTTCCTGGCAACTATTTGTAAAAAATGCTGCAGTGGAGCATCCTTAGAAAGACCCTGCATCCAGTTTTGGTCACCACATTACAAAAATGACCCCAGTGACCTTGATCTTATGTAACCTCCTCATCACAAGACCCATCACAAGACTTTCACTCAACACACCCACACCTGAAGCCCTTATAAACAGAAGAACACCGACACTGACACCCCCTAAACTCTGTTGAAGATGTTACCTAGCCTGGTAACGGGATGTTCGGAAACCAACCCATAAGCTCGGAGAACAAATCTTCACCCTCAATTTAAAGGGTCTCCTGCTTGAGCAGGGGGTTGGACTAGAAGACCTCCAAGGTCCCTTACAACTGTGTTAATCTGTTATTGTGCCTCAGGAAAGGAGACTGATATAACTAAAATGTCTAGTGAATTTGGTTCCTTATGTTGTAAGTGGGGATGTTGCTACACACTAGATCTTGTAAGTTCCAACTCAATGAATCATATCTATTTGTAGAAAGTCAGTATCCACCCACATGCCTAGCGAAGAAAATATTTTGGGGGAAGAATAGTATATTTCCCCAAAGGAATAATGGAGAAAAATCTCAGTGGAGGCAGAAAACCAGCCCCAGACTCCCCCCCCCACATTCTCCCTGCCCCAAACAGAAACCGAGGCGGCAACTCCTTTAGAAATGCAGTTTTTCTAATCCATGCAGGGAAACTGGGGCCAGGAAACCTGGAGCTGATGGGATTAGAAAAACAAAGACTCCTAAAAGCTACATTCCCCCACCCAGCTCCAAAGGACAGGAACATGACCGTTAGGACATAATAGGATTAACCCACCACAATTAGAATACTAGAAGTTCAGGTCAAAGTACTCAGACAGGAACAGGCATCTCAAATGCAAAGCCCAAGAAGGTATAAAAACCCATCCACTCTCAACTCCATTTTGTCAGCTGTCCCAGAACCACATGCTGCTGGTGGTTCTGCTCAAACCTTCTTTCCAAACAGCCAGCCTCCATTTTGCTTCCAATGTCTTATCCACCATTTTGTTTACTCCCAGCTTGGAACTGGACCTGATGATTTTTCTTTCTACAAAATCATGGGCGCTCCATCCCTTGAAATTTTCAAGAAGAGACTGGGCAATCCCCTGTCTGGGATTTGAACCTTTAGGCTACAGGCTCCCCCTCACTCCTGTCAGTAGTTCAGGTTCAAATCCCAGAGGGGTAAGACTAGCTGATGAGAGCTAAAGAGCTTTAAATAGCTATACTAGTCTCCCTTTAACTCTTTGTCAGCCACAAAATTTTGAATTTACAGTGTTCACAGTAGTGACGTCTGCCTGCAAAAGATGCTCCAAAACTGGAGCGAAACGCAGAACAGATTACTTTATATTTGGTAGACTGGGTGCTCCACCCAACACATAGATATATATCCTCCCTGGTCTCTACTGACTGGAGTGAGGGGAGCCTGTGGCCTAAAGGTTAATACAGCTGCCTAACATGCAAGCTGCCCAGGTTTGAATCCCAGAGGGGTAAGACTAGCTGATGAGAGCTAAAGAGCTTGAAATAGCTATACTAGTCTCCCTTTAACTCTTTGTCAGGCACAAAATTTTGAATATGTATATGTCTATACATATGTGTATGTCCATTTTGAATATATGGGAGAGAGGAAGCTTGAGAGTTCACAAGGTTGATGCTATATAAAAACAAATCATGCCAAACCAATCTTATTTCATTACTAGCTGTACCGGGCCATGCGTTGCTGTGGCTCAGTCTGGTTAAATGGAAAAGAAAGAAAAGAGAAAGCGCACGTTTGTAATATGTTTAATTTCACAATGCTTGTGGGTATACAATATTTTTTGTTGTTCCATTGTCTGTACAGATATAGAGATTGTCTGGTTTGCCGACTCTAGAACACGCAACATATAATTGTCCATGTGAGAAGCAATCCGTGTCTAGATCTAAACTGCACAATTCTAAAGATTGGCCCTGAGCTTTGTTGATGGTGATTGCAAACACCAATCGAATTGGGAATTGTAATCTCTTAAATTGAAATGGCATATCCATTGGAATCATAGGAATGTGAGGAATGAGGACATCTTCACCTTTGAAAGGTCCTGTCAAGATTGTTGCTTCTACGACATTGCTCATTAAAGCATGTTTTTATGCTTTAAAGAGCATGTTTTTACCTGTCACAGGTGTGACAGGTAGGTATATAAAAACACGTGCGTGTTTTTATAGTAGGTATATAAAAACATGCACGTATTCGAATGCAACGTTGTGTCAAAATTTCAAAGCAATCGGTGAAGAACTTTCGGAGATTTAAGATTTTGAACAAACGAACATTTACATTTTTATTTAGATAGATTTGGCAAAGTGAGTAAATTAGTAGATCAGCAAAATACTGTGGACATAGTATATTTAGACTTCAACAAGGCTTTTGACAAAGTAGACTACAATCTACTTCTTGGTAAGCTATAAAAACGTGGGATAGACAGCATCACCACCAGATGGATTTGTAACTGGCTGACAAACTGTACTCAAAGAGTAGTCCTTGATAATACTACATCTACATGGAAGGAAGGAAGCAGTGGGATACCACAAGGCTTCATCTTAGGCCCAGGACTCTTCAATATCTTCATCAATGACTTAGACGAGGGAATAGAAGGGGAACTCATCAAATTTGCAGNGGTTCTTCCTGGTATTATTCCCTCTACCATGAAGGGCGCTCTACCAGGTCCAGACTCCATGCCCTGGTCCCTCTCTGCAACCCAGAGCTCACCTACCTCTTAGGACATCACTGAGTGGGAAGGCCTGCTGGAGAGGACCATCCAACGATCTGTGTTGGATCTGGCAGGTCAGCTGAGACTTCACATCTCCTTGCTCCAGTGGGATTTCCACTGTGCTCTCTACTTGGTATGAAATGCTCTCTGTTTCATCAGAATTGAGGATGTTGGTCTGGGCAGCCTGTATTTTTTTCCCATCCTTCAACCAGCTGACTGTGATCTCCTGGGGGGAGAATCCCTCTGTGGAGCAGTTGAAGGAGGCCCGAGACCCTGCCACGACTCTTCTTGTGGGGCCACGAACCACAGGCTGGGATGGCTTGGCTGAGGGAGAAAGTAGAGAGAGATAGCAGTTGACGTTCCTCAGAGATAATACAGGAAGCTACAAGGCTGTGTTTGGTTGGAGAGACTCAATGTCAACGCTGCTAACATCGGATGTTCTTGCTTTGACAATATATGAAGATACAGCCATTTTCTCTTTAACCTGTGTATTACTTTTAGAGTTAGAATTAGATGATGCTGGGGGGGAGGAGGGGGAAGAATGTGCATGGGGATTAGTTAGACATAACAACATCGCAGTAGAGTATTCTTCAAGGTTGTTTGAAATAAGAGAAGATAAGAAATGGCGGGTTGTGAAACTGGAGGGAAAATTTGCATTTCAAACTAATTGGAGAATGTGATTTATGACTGTTAATTGGAAGAGGGAATTGTGTTTCGATACTATGTGTTTAAGGGAGGAGAATTCAGATTTTGGCTTCGACCATGTACGTACTGATGTCGTGTTATTTTGAATAAAGGTTCCTTAAGGTAAACAATGCTTCGAAGTTCTTTGAAGAGTAACATCTGTCGGAACCATGACATCCAACTTCAGAACATGAGATTTAATCTCATATGTCTCTCGATTGACTGGGAATATCTCCTTCCATCCCCAGAAATCAAATCGGAGAGCCCCACCTACCAATTACGGAGACCAGAGTGCCTTTCCCCGAAGCCAGTTTTCTCTCTGGGATCCCTGCCCTGAACTTCACACAATAGTAGATCCCGGCATCTTCAGGACGGATGTTTGGGATGTTGATGCTGAAGTCTGTGTTGGATCTTGGGATGAGCCTCACCCCCCGGTTGGAAGCGCGTACGTTATCGCTGTAAATGGGGGGCTGGTTTCTGTCCAGCCCTTTGAACCACTGCACGCCTCCAAGTAAATTTACCCCAGTCAACGTACACTGTAGAGTGAGGCTGTCTCCAGCTTTCACCGATACGGTTTCCGGAAGTTGTGTTACCTCCGTTTTCTGTCGTGTAACAACTGAAATAAAAATAATCACTTTTGTAACTAGGTTTCCTCTAGAAAGTGGTCAGCACTCTTCTGGACACAAAGGACCACTGGTGGTGCCCCTTTGGAGAACAGAATTATTTGCATTTCCTGAATGCAATCCTTCTGGACTATGACCAACTGTTTTGAATTCCTGACCAGTTTTAAATCATTGTCTTGCAGAGGGCTAATTTATATGGTGGGCAAGTTTTGTATCAAAGTTCCAAATTTTTTCCCAAGTCTTTTTTCCATTAAACACAAAAGAAAAGTTTCTGGTTTTATCTTTATATTCACTTTGAGAATCTTCTGTATTAAGATGTGAATCGTACTTCAATATTTCTTTGCTTTATCACATGTCCACCATGAATAATACAAGGTCTCTTCTTTACATTTGAATGTCCAACATTCATTTGAAATACCTTTATACATTCTGAACAACTTATCTGGTGTTAAATACCAATGATACATCGTCTCATAGACGTTTTCTTTTAGATTATAATTTGCTGGAATTGGGTTTGTCTAGTTTAACGAAGAGAAGGACGAGGGGGACATGATAGCAGTGTTCCAATATCTTAGGGGCTGCCACAAAGAAGAGGGAGTCAAGCTATTCTCCAAAGCGCCTGAAGGCAGGACAAGAAGCAACAGGTGGAAACCAATCAAGGAGAGAAGCAACCTAGAACTAAGGAGAAACTTCCTGACAGTTAGAACAATTAACCAGTGGAACAACCTGCCTCCAGAAGCGGTGAATGCGCCAACACTGGAAGTTTTTAAGAAGAAACTGGACAGCGAAATGTCTTCAAAGAAAAACAAGAAAGTCCAGTAGCCTCCTGAAAAAGCACCTTCGGCACAATTCATTTTTGCTTTGTTCTGTTAAATTAAACAAAGATATGTGGCCACCCAACTCACACACAAGCGACTCTGATCAGCACAAAAGCAACTTTAAGAATTCACACCATAAAAGTAATAAAGCCCCATTGCCCCCATCCCCACGATGCACAAAATCACATGAAAACGAATCACGTGAAGTATTAATACCACTTTACAATGCCTTGGTAAGGCCACACTTGGAATACTGCATCCAGTTTTGGTCACCACGATGTTAAAAATGATGCTGAGACTCTAGAAAAAGTGCAGAGAAGAACCACAAAGATGATTAGGGGACTGGAGGCTAAAGCATATAAGGAACGGTTGCTGGAATTGGGGATGTCTAGTTTAATGAAGAGAAGGACGAGAGGGGACATGATAGCAGTCTTCCAGTATCTCAGGGGCTGCCCCAAAGAAGAGGGAGTCAAGCTATTCTCCAAAGCGTCTGAAGGCAGGACAAGAAGCAACGGATGGAAACTCATCAAGGAGAGAAGCAACCTATAACTAAGGAGAAACTTCCTGACAGTTAGAACAATTAACCAGTGGAACAACCTGCCTCCAGAAGCGGTGAATGCTCCAACACTGGAAGTTTTTAAGAAGAGACTGGACAGCCATTTGTCTGAAATGGTGTAGGGTTCCTGCCTGAGCAGGAGGTTGGACTCGATGACCACCAAGGTCCCTTCCAACTTGATTATTATTATTATTATTATTATTATTATTATTATTATTATTATTATTATTATTATTACTATTACTATTACTACTACTACTACTACTACTATTATTATTATTATTATTATTATTAATCAAGGAGAAAAACAACCTGGAACTAAGGAGGAATTTCCAGACGGTGAGAACAATTAATCTGTGAGTATGATTCATAAGCTTTGCCTACACACAAGTTCTGTAGTGTCATTTTTAGAAATTTTTAGAACTCTCTTCCTGGCAACTATTTGTAATAAGTGCTGCAGTGGAGCATCCTTAGAAAGACCCTGCATCCAGTTTTGGTCACCACATTACAAAAATGACCCCGGTGACCTTGATCTTATGTAACCTCCTCATCACAAGACCCATCACAAGACTTTCACTCAACACACCCACACCTGAAGCCCTTATAAACAGAAGAACACCGACACTGACACCCCCTAAACTCTGTTGAAGATGTTACCTAGCCTGGTAACGGGATGTTCGGAAACCAACCCATAAGCTCGGAGAACAGATCTTCACCCTCAATTTAAAGGGTCTCCTGCTTGAGCAGGGGGTTGGACTAGAAGACCTCCAAGGTCCCTTACAACTGTGTTAATCTGTTATTGTGCCTCAGGAAAGGAGACTGATATAACTAAAATGTCTAGTGAATTTGGTTCCTTATGTTGTAAGTGGGGATGTTGCTACACACTAGATCTTGTAAGTTCCAACTCAATGAATCATATCTATTTGTAGAAAGTCAGTATCCACCCACATGCCTAGCGAAGAAAATATTTTGGGGGAAGAATAGTATATTTCCCCAAAGGAATAATGGAGAAAAATCTCAGTGGAGGCAGAAAACCAGCCCCAGACTCCCCCCCCCCACATTCTCCCTGCCCCAAACAGAAACCGAGGCGGCAACTCCTTTAGAAATGCAGTTTTTCTAATCCATGCAGGGAAACTGGGGCCAGGAAACCTGGAGCTGATGGGATTAGAAAAACAAAGACTCCTAAAAGCTACATTCCCCCACCCAGCTCCAAAGGACAGGAACATGACCGTTAGGACATAATAGGATTAACCCACCACAATTAGAATACCAGAAACTCAGGTCAAAATACTCAGACAGGAACAGGCATCTCAAATGCAAAGCCCAAGAAGGTATAAAAAAACATCCACTCTCAACTCCATTTTGTCAGCTGTACCAGAACCACATGCTGCTGGTGGTTCTGCTCAAACCTTCTTTCCAAACAGCCAGCCTCCATTTTGCTTCCAGTGTCTTATCCACCATTTTGTTTACTCCCAGCTTGGAACTGGACCTGATGATTTTTCTTTCTACAAAATCATGGGCGCTCCATCCCTTGAAATTTTCAAGAAGAGACTGGGCAATCCCCTGTCTGGGATTCGAACCTTTAGGCTACAGGCTCCCCCTCACTCCTGTCAGTAGTTCAGGTTCAAATCCCAGAGGGGTAAGACTAGCTGATGAGAGCTAAAGAGCTTTAAATAGCTATACTAGTCTCCCTTTAACTCTTTGTCAGCCACAAAATTTTGAATTTACAGTGTTCACAGTAGTGACGTCTGCCTGCAAAAGATGCTCCAAAACTGGAGCGAAACGTGTTGTGTTCTTTGTATTCCCCCCCCTTAATCCCCTATGCATATCCTGATCACCCATTAAGGGTGATTGCCCTTCACCATTGATCGCCCATTAAGGGTGATTGCCCTTCACCATTGATCGCCCATTAAGGGTGATTGCCCTTCTCCATCTGCATACAGTTTCATGCCCGTTGCTGGTTGGCTAACTAGCAACAGGGT